CCCTTTTCCTCTGGGCTCCTGACTCTATCTGCAGCATCTCTACTGCTACTCCTTGGCTCCTTCTTACTACTGTCTTTCAGCCACACCCCTAATCTAATGGTAGGTAAGATGTAGCACCTAGTCTTCTCGGATAAGGGCGAAAAATCTCGGAGGTCCAGTGTGCAAGTTGCGCTCGTTAAAGATCCCTTGGTGGTAAAAAATCGATAAGAAGAGTAGGCTTCGGCCGCCACCCGGGCAAAATTCAAAATTTTCCTACTCCTACCAACTGAAAATATTATGAGAGTCCCGCGCGCTCATATGGCCTTATGCAGTTGCAAGCACTGTAAAAGATTTCCAACAAAAAAAGAAAGAAAAAAGACAAGACAGAAATTATTACATTAATGGGAGTATTAAAAAGGAAATGGGTCAACGCGAATATCAAACCAACAGCAAAGACTCCTCAAACTCAAACTAAAGAAAAAAGACGCAGGTTCCTTGAAGAAAATATCCCTATTGAAATATGGATATTGATCTCCTTCGGCATTGTTTTTCGTTCGGGGCATAAAAATAGGCACATAGATAATGACCAAAGAAGCAAGACTTTATAATAAAACCCTTCATGCTAACCCAACAAAGAAAAAAAAACCCCTATGAATTAAAGTTTTCTCAGGGAGTTTAAGGTTTTTTAATAATAAGTATAAGCCTACACGTTCCGTGCACTTTGTCCTTTTAATAACTACAGGACAATAAATATCTACGTGTTTACTTCAGGAAGGTTCCTGTCTTTTCAATAACATGACAAACAAACATAATCGATGGGAGGTTCACTTTCTCCTTAAATTGCTCCTTTCAAAAGCGTGACAAACATAATAAATGGAACGTTTTCCTTTGCCCTTTCAATAACATGAATCAACAAACATAATTAATGGAAAGTTCACTTTGTTTTTTCAACATCGTGACAAAGATATTCGATGGAAGGTTCACTTTGTCTTTTCAATATCGTGACAAAGATATTCGATGGAAGGTTCACTTTGTCTTTTCAATATTGTGACAAACATGATCAATGAAAAGTTCACTTTGTCTTTTAAATATCGTGACAAATATTATCAATTTGAGTTCATCGGAAAGGTTTCCGTTTCAGTAACGTGAAAACATAATCAATGGAAGGTTTACTTTATCCTTTCAGTCAGCAACGTGACAAAAACATTCGATGCGTGTTCTTCTGGAAGGTTCCCTTTGTCCTTTAAATAAAGTGACAAACATAATTATCAATGGAACGTTCACTTTGTCCTTTAAATAGAGTGACAAAAATAATTATCGATGGAAAGTTCACTTCGTCCTTTGAACAACGTAACAAATAGTAATTGATGTAAATGAATTAACTGCAGGAAGGTTTACTTTGTCCTTTCTGTAACGTGCCAAACAATCACTGTGTCTTCTCCAGGAAGGTTCCCCCCTAGCACAAATGTCAGATGGAGCAGTGGACCTTCTGCCTGTTGCCTAGCGATGGAGACAGGACCAGAGACAGCCCAGAGGTCAGCCTCGTGTTCCCCCTGACCTGGAGTCCACTGCTGCCCTAGATGACCAGTGCCTGCCTAAACCAGTTAATGGCATACTCATCCCTTTATTGATTTGTTACACTTTGCCTTATTAATCTTCTTTTCGGAAGGCTAAATTGGCATTTAAATAAAATGAAAGACCAGAGTGCCTGAAAAACTAGTAAAGAAAAGAGGGCAGATGCAATAAGTTAGTTTATAAGTATTTCTTGCGATTGTTTCAGCCATCGCTTCAGATCATATAACATAAAATGCATTATGTACCCAAAAGAAAAAAAAATCACTCGCCAAGAAGTGCCAGTGTGTAATGTTCATAATGTAAGTGTGGGAATGTGGAAATTGATAAGTTTATGCCTCCCCCCCCAAGAAGTAGAAACACTGCTATCATACTGAGACCATGAACACTTCTCCCTTTTACATACCATAGAACAGGCAGCAACACCAATAAATTCTTGATATACAGTACATTCATTATAATAGTATAAAATAGTATGGGGGTTGCCACAATATGCACCACTTTTTCAGGGGATTGGGGGAGGGGGGGGGGACTTTTTCAGTTAACACACCTTTATGACATGACCAACAGTCTTATCCCATTTGTTCCTCTATCCACCTCAATGAAACCCTCCCATTCCATAAAATATATATCCAACAAATGGCCCTTTTCTCCAAAAGGGCATAACCATTAATATATTTTTACCTTTTGAAATCTCTTTAAAAGTTCTCCTCTTTTTCTGAAAATTGTTTTCCACAACAATTGGTATTTTGTACAATGCTGAGACTCAGAGTGCTGATTAAAATTGTTTTGAGTGCTTTGCCAAGTTTTCATTTCATGTGCGAATGGAATAAAGTAATATTGTGTGTATTTATAAAATTGCTTCTATTGAAATTTGTGCATTTAGCCAGTCTGCTGACTACAAATCTTTGCTTCCACACAGTACCTGCATAGTATCTTTCTTCACTTTCATCTGTAAGCAATACACGGTCATTTAAATCAAAGCTCCCTGTCACCCAGAATTTTTTACAGTTCTCATTCAGCGATGCTGGTACATTTTTGTATGTTTTACGTGATGGCTGAATAAACTGATATACAACGAAACTCTTAAGATTCATTTCTATTTGTTCCATAGATCTAGCCATAACATTCTTTTAATTTGTGTTAAGCTTCAATCTAACAAGCATCTATGGTGTTGCGGTTAGGCATTTTTGCCATTGTATACTGACGACATAAGTTCAAGTTCCGCATGGGAAAGTGTTTTAATTTTATGAACTATCTGCGCCTGTCAGAGGGGACCTTGTAACCCTCTCGGGCCATATTGGCCTTGACAAGCAGGGTCGAAGCAGACTGCCTCCTAAATGATATAAACTGCATTGATGGGAACATAAAACAAAAACAATTAACTTGTTTTTAAGTCTCAATCCACTTCAATATATAATAAGCAACCATTTTACATCAAGCAAAATCATTAGAAGTAATAGAAGTCAGTCTTCTCTACTTGTGGTATTTCTTCTCTCTGTCTCAAAATACATGCAAGGCTGAAGTGTTCCTTTTCCGGCATCAAAAATAAGAAATGGCGTGAATAGAAAATGTAAACGTTATCTTGCTTTTCCAATTAAGAAATAAACATGTACATCCAATTTGACGAGCACTCTGGTGTGGTTTGTTCCTTCTTTCCTTTCAAACATCTACTGCCCTTATCTCTCCTCCTTTTCTTTCTGCTACTCTCTTGTTGTAGTAACACTTCTAATCTTCCATACATGATACATGACCTCTATTTGTGTTGCAAGGGCCACAAAAACTTGTCTTACTAAAACTAAAACTAAGACACTGTTTAATTTGGCCCAAGACCCCCAAAAAATTAATAAAAGAAATGATTAAATGTTAAAGTTAAAGATTTTGGAAAGACATTGTGCTCATTATAATTTATTTTCAATGCATTATAAAATGGGTGTCTCCTAAAAGGCTTGGTTGTTATGAATCCAAACCAGTAAGACAATCGCACAGAACTCACATTAAAAAAAAATTGTGCCTGTACCTAAAAGAAAACATCCTAGTTGTAATTTCAAGATGTTTCCACAAAGGATATGGGGCTAAAATGTGGCGAGGACACTCATGCCAAGACGTATCATTATGTCATCGGGCCCTGCTTGTCTGATCCGTCCTCGGAGAAATTTGCGCCCACAACCCGCAACTTCCGCACGCAACTTTTACCCTCAGTGCAACTTTTGCCATTTTCGTGAGTTCGCCAATTTTAGCCCATTTTCAGCAAAAGTTGAGAATTTAATAATAAATTTTCGTTAAAAATAATCAAAACTTTCTTCCACGACTAAAAATAACGACTCCAAGGGGGACAATGCATACCAGAAATCCTTTGTACGGGGTGCTTATTGCGGACGGGATCGGGTCGGGAAGGAATGATGCCGGACTCGCCACCAGAAAATTTTTGAGGCAACGAGTCGGGCGCGATCGGCTTGTGCCACGATAGCCGCTTTGCACCCTCAATCTGGCTGGCAAAGCGACCTGACCCGACCCCTCAATGGTCCTGTTTGGACTGAATCATTTTCTACTCTAGCTAGATCTAGATCAGTAAATCAATCGTAAACACGATCATCTGATTACTTAGCTCGCATTTGGTTCTGTAGCACCAGGTAGATAGATCTAGTCTAAAAATTTGAGAAAGACTTTAAATCTTAGGCTAGGAGAGTAGATCTAGACACATGGATCGATTCATCAAGAAAACCCCTAAACCACACGCGTCACACCTGCCAAACTTCAGCGAGAGTTTAAGGACCTGACGCATGTGTCAGTGGACAAACTTGTTTTGTTGTACTCCATGCAGTTTTTTTTTTCGGTAGACATTCACATTTACTTTAATTTTGATCTAACAAAACTCATGTTGGTTACTTTGAGCATACCAACAATGTATTTAAATAATTCCAGGAAATTTTTTTGCGATACAAGTCTTGCAACTTTTGCTAATTTTTCTAGCAACATTTTGCAACTTTTGCTATTTTCAAGTGTAACTTTTTCCGGGGACAGTCTGACTGTTAGAATGAAAACCCCACTGTTTCAAACTAACCATCAAAAGGCATTTCAACAACAAAGATATTCACCAACAAGGCTTTTTTGCTGAAAAAAATCTGTTAAGCAAGATAGGGGAGTGGAGCTCCCACTGAAGAGCTGAGAAGGACTTTTAAGATTGACAAGTTTTCATGTGAAAGTATTGTACCCGATAATCGTCTGCACTTGAGAGAATCAGAACTAAACACCACACACTTTAGAAAAGCCATTATATTTTCAAGCATTCTTTTTCATTGGTTTCTTCACTGAGTAAATGTTTCATGGTGCAATTGACACGATGAGGTAATGTAATCACCATTACTTTTAGAGAATGTCTCATAAATTATCACATTCTAAACATGTAGGCTACTTTGAAAACTACGACTTGAAACGATTCAACATCTCTTTCAAAAACTGTGTAATAGGTACAGTCCATATATATATGTGAGATCAGGCTGAGGAAATTGGGAATATGTCTCCCCTCGTCCATTTTGAATTTTTAAGAATTTTTGAAAGCTGGGATCTTCTTGGTTATTATGCACTCAAAATGTATTACCTGTCTTTTCTAAAAGATGAGATATTGCATTTTGAAGAAACAAAATGTGGAAAATTAAGAACTGAGAAAAATGCATTCAATATTACATCATCAATTGCTTTTTGATCTGAATGCAAATGGGAAGTAAATTGAGAAAAGATATTTCAAAGTGGTTTTTACAAGTAACACTAACACCTCTTGAAAATTTTCTAAAATGGTAGGGGAATCCTTTGGTATGTACAACTCAAAACTGCCCAGAACTGATCACACCAACTCGGTTCGAGGTTTAGCGACATATTCCTGGTTTCCCCAGACCAGCTCACACACACACACACACACACACACACACACACACACACACACACATATATATATATATATAACAAACACTGAAATAAATCACAGACACAGTTTAATAACTTTACCATACACTAATAAAAATGGCATCTGCATGGACAAAAACATGAAGAAAGAGCATAAAACTTATCAAACCATTTTGGGCCATTTCTTCTTCAGCTCAATGAATACAATACATTGGTGTCTGCTGAAACCCAACATGGTTCATTTGAAAAAAGCAGTAAACTAAAAGAAAATTAAATCCCCAATGCTATCTTTTTCCATTTGAGAAACTTCTCTAAACAGAAAACCTAGTTAAACCACAGACTTCGGTTTAAGTAGACTCCACTGTATAAAACATTTACTATCAGCTCTCAAAGAGAAACATCTTTCAGCAGAGCAAATTCTGTTCATCGCTAACAAGCCATACATCCACTGCTTGAAGTGACAAACATCTTCATACCTCAAATTTCTTTCTAGATTACTAAGTAATAAAATCAGATTTCCCTTCAAGCTCCTAAAAAATTGCAAACACTGAATCCCCAAAACAATGTGAAAAAGTTGCAGGAACGGCAAACAAGCTCAGCAATGGGAGATCTTGAACCGTGCACTCATCTGATAATGCATCTGTCAAATATAATTCCACAGACAAGATGGACTAGTGACTTCTATTCCAAGCCCCTGTTGACACAATTTAGAACATTTAGGAGGTGGGATTCTTTGACCCTGCTTGTCAAGGCCACTCAAAATTGAGTGGGATACAGTATCATAGCAGGTACTCAATAAAATAGAGTTTTCCAAGCAGGATTTGGTGGTGTAAAACAATTGAGAAGACAACCTTGATAGATATATATTAGTGAAATTACTGAGTGACTATACCAGCACTAATCTGAGATGGAACCACATACTTTGGCATGAGAGGCAAGCATCTTATCTCTAAGCTTTTGTGGAACTTGACATAAGCTTTACCCTATTGACAGCATCAACGTGAACATTGTACTACTGTAGTAACCATGTATTCAACACAAGAATACTTTGCACATACACAAAACGCTCTTTGCACTGGTAAAGACTCACTCAAAACTACAAACCAGACACATTTCCGACAGTGATAAGAACACTTATACTAATTAAACAACACTACTAAGTTGACAAATGCCATAGATCTATAATGGCAATGTTTTAGGCCCCAATCACTTTACCCACAGCACTGAATGACCTGAAAGAGGGAGAGACAAGAGCCTTCTCACTACTTGAGGCACAAAGCAACAAATGAACTTGAGACCACATTTTGTTGCGAAAGTTGCCAAAACATTTGAAAGTGCTATAAAACTGCAAACATACATGTACATAATACAAACTTGGAAAGCACTTTCAAAACAGTTGTTCCAAATTATGCACACGGTCTTTGTAAATTTTCAGTGGGAAAAAAGACTAAAAAACATTGCACTAATATTAACTTTAAAAATTTGAAACTTGAGCTGGTAATACCACCACTGAAAATGAGAAGAATGGTCTCTGTTCAAGCCTTTCCTGGTTACCCAACCAACAATCCTGTGATGATACCAGAAATTCTGGAATAACAACCACCATTCACAAAACAAGAAGTCATTTGACTATTTCTCCTTGTGCATCCGTAAAAGGAAAACATCATTCACTCTGGCATTGCATGTATTTCCAGTAATGTACATCGCTGTTTTCAGTTCTTAGAGTGACAGTTTCTTGAGGATCATTCAGTGCAAATCTGGCTGGCGTGTTCTGTTTTCTTTTTCCTCATTCTTGGCGTGTTTCTGTAACAGATCCATAACATCAGACTGGAACTCAGATGGGACTTCTTTTGCACCTGAAAAACACGCAACAGTACCCCAAACAATAAGGTAAGAAATTTTTAAAAAGACAGAAAACCTTCATTCATCATTATGGGGAACCTTGGGTTGAATACGGTACGTAAAACTTACATCAACAATGCATAAATAAAAAATAAGATGTTACAGCAACAACATCACATATAACACACAATGCAACTCAGATACATCAAACGTGCAATAATAGCCTCCCGTCCAAGATAATCTCCTGCACAAATAACCACTTCCTACTCCCCCCCCCCTCTCCCCCGTATTTTTATAAAATTATAACGATAATGATCAAGATTACCCCCTGTTTGAGTAGACTTCTTTTCTCCACGACAATGGCCGACCGTCTTGGACAATTTCGACTGCGCATGGCGCATACATTATCACAAATCCCCCATTGCTGGTGGCCACACTGCAACACCTTGTTGTAGTTGTTGTTGATCTTTCTAAGGCTCAGGAAAGTGATATACTCTGACCACTTGTCTCGCTATTAATCTTTCTTACATCTTTTTCAATTTTAAGCTGAGCTATCATATAATATTACTTTGAAAACATGAATCTGTCCTCCCTCCTTGAGTGGGTCAAAGAATGATCACTTGTAGGACGTGTGACCTCTTCAGGCAGTAAAAAAATGTACAGTAGTCTCCCCCTAAAAGCACGGTGCTCGGGAGGGCTCCTTAGCGTGTGTTTATATGGAGCGTGCGTTTACATGAACCTTTGCAAGGGGAGGAAGGGACGCAGTCATCTCAATTCCTTTTTACTCTAGTGACCTCTCTTGGAGGGAGGGGTCATTTTGGCAGATAATGTGATGACACGTGACTGTTTTGTGAAGGATTCCCCGACTGGGTTTAAGAATACCTAAGGCGTTGAATAAAGACAGGACAGACTCAAAGTAATGAATATGCACTATAAACGTCGGGAACAGAAAGCGTAAGAAGAAACTGTTGGAGCTAGTCATAGATCTAGTCATAGAGACGACGGCCCAGCCTCATTGCTTTCCAAGCAACCACCCTGACCGTAAATTCAAGCAGAATCATAGATCTCTACCTTCAGAGAAACATTTCTCTTGTGATTCGTTGAACGAGTACGTTATTATAAGTTCTTCGAGCTCAGCTGGTTAGGCTTACTTGGCTAATCTTTAACCCTATGGAATCTGTCTAGTTTTTAGAGCATTTACGCGTGTCGCGCATCAGGCCAAGTTCTAACTAACATTACACACAGTCACTCAAACACCAGTCAGAAACCTTCTCTCAAAGATGTACATTATATGTGAATGTGTCAGTGGAAAGTTGGATGTGAAAACGCTGTCCATCACTCTCTTTGTTTGGCGTGAGGGGCCTGCTAACCCATTTTCTAGGCTTGTCTTTTGCAAGCTGTGCAGGTTGTAGTGAAAATTTCCCCTTGTCAGGCCTTTCTTGTCAGTGTATTTCACGGATCGGAGCGTGCGTTTAGAGGGAGTGACCGTGCGTTTGTACGTCTAAATTATATAGTAAAAAACCCGTCAGATGACGAAAGCGTGCGTTTGAGCGGAGTGTGCTTTTGTATGGCGTGCGTTTAGGCGGAGACTACTGTACCAAATAAACATTCACAATAAAATTCTCCGCACATGGAATCAAACGGAGGTGTTCTGAGCCTCGAACCGTTACACCACAAACAAGGGTTTAGACAACAGGAACAATAACATGACCCGCATCTGAGTTGCCACATATGGGGAGGTTCTTAAACTTAGGTCCTGCGGGGAGTATTCAAAGTTTTCCACCCTCTTGTCTCTGTGTTACTAGGGATGGATGTTGAATTCAGAGATTCTGCCTCTTAGCCCCTTTGTTGCATTTGACACACCTGGTACATCATGAAAATACGTAATTTTTAGCTTTGTGTCGTAACATGGACGTTACGGAATTTGGCAAAAATGTTCCATTCCTGGCTGCCTTCAGGATGTATCCACCCACTAATCATCTAACTCTAGTTCTTCTGTACCAAGTTTCAGCTAAGCACAGCGTGGATACGCATTCGAGTTTTAAAAATGCGCATATCGGTATAGTTTACGGCTAGGCTGGTACGCGATTGATAAACACAGGTCTACCCTTGCGAGAAAAAGTGCGCTCTCAAGAGGGCACTTTTTCTTGCAAAATGTAAACATGAAAATTCCTTAACCAACCCCTTCGTTGCCATATGATGTTCCTAGTGCATCCTGAAAATGCATAGTTTTTAGCTTTAGGCCATACTATGTACGTCATGGTAGTAGGCAAATTCCGGAAAGTGCAAATGCCAAATTGACTTTATAAAAATGGAGCAAAATTCATCTTTTGACTTACATTTTGCAAGTCTTAACAAATTACAGGTAAGATGGGGAATATAAGGAATGAAAACAGTGAGGAAAAAGACATTATCATTGACTGAAAGTCCAAAATATATGTAAGGCACCGTGGTGAAATCAGGCACTCGTCAAAATAACAAAATTGGAGAAACAAGCATTTTTTCACTAGTTTCGCAAGTTTCATTGAATTTTTTCTTTTTGCCCAACCCCTTTTAAGTCCATACAAAAACACATTTCCACGTGAGTTTTACTATAAAAAAGTTGATTAAAGGCACAAAGTATGTCATTTTTCAGTTTTCAGGGACTGTTTAGCTATTGGAGTCACCAAACTTTGGCAGCCATTTTCTCGGTAATTTCACCACTGAAACCAGGAGACTTCAGCTCCTTCAATCGCAAATATCTCGACTTCTATTCAAGACAAATGGGTATTTTTTTCATTGAAAGTAAGACAAATGAATAAGCTTTCAGATGGTACCAATAACACCACATGCCGAAAACTTGACAAGCACCTGATTTCACCACGTCGTGACACATATGTCAAGGGATGGTTTGATGTAGACAGCGAGTTCAGTAATACTGTGACATAGGACTGCTGTTCTGGCTATCAAGTTTAGCTGAAAATCAGGGCTGTAACTTTACAGTGTTATTAGGTGCGTTAACCTATACATTAAAAAAGAAGTCTTCCAGACTCAACACTTCTCTCCTTTTGTTTTCACTGAAGGTACTATCTGTGTATTACATGTGTGAACACAAGCATGGTATTTTACCTGTCACCCAGTAATAAATTTCCCAGTCATTTGTGGGTTGGTTGATAAGCTTATCATATGAAGCCAGCTGGTCTTGGTTCAGAGAGTCCAAGTGCTTGCCTGCAAATGTACTGCAAAGTAAACACATATACAATGTCATAACCTGGGCACAGGAAAATAGAGCAACATAAATGAAATAGTAACAATTCATTCACACAACCCCCCCCCCCCCCCCAAAAAAAAAAAAACCCACCAAAAAAAATTAAAAAATCTAAAGGAATTTGTTGAACATATTTCATAACATACTTGCTTACGGCTGTCACAAAAAAAACCTGCAGAAAAACTTATATTGGTTGACATATATACCAGTATCAACATATCAATGACCTTGGAAAATCGAAAATTGACAAAAGAGTTGACATTCTAGGCAGACTGAAATAAAGTTGACCACAAACCAAAAATATATTAAGTGTTTTGCTCTATAATATATTTTTTCATGAAAATAAAGACCATGACCAGAGTAGTCTAAAAGTCATAACAAAATTCTTTATAGCTTAATATAATTACAAACGAGTGACTATCAATATAATGCAGATATACAGTTAAACCTGTGCAAGACGGATTCAGAATGGAGCCCGAAAAAAATTCCATCTTAGACATGGGAAATTACGGGGGAGATAGAGGGGGATTTAAAAGGCCCACCCGGTAGGATCAAGGGTCGCTTGTCCAGTTGGCAAGCAGTCACAAGTGGTCAAAACGTCACACCTCTCGACTGCTAACCTCCCTGGTAATGACTTGCATCAGTCTTATTTATCCAATTACCACCAGTGCCTTCATTTCATAGGACCACTGTTTGGCCTATTAAAAACATAAATTTTTGAACAACTCCTTTGCTTCCACCCTTAACCCCACAAATCGATGTAATTGGCACAGTCAACCAATGCCACGCCTCACTGTCATGTAACAATGATTCGAGGAACTCTTTTCTTGGCTGACTGTACGATCAGGGTGGCAGGCATTGGTCAGACTAATTTCACACCTCTGGCTACCAATGAAAGTTTCCCTGTTGGAGCGCCACTTGAGCACTTTCACTGGCACTTGTGAGATTTCAGACCCACACCACCCTGACCATCTTCATAGCTCAGGGCTCACATAGATGGGGTAACATCTACCCATAAATTTTACCCCTACTCCCCTTCCTTGCCCAGCAGTATAGTGCTAAGTTTAGAGCCGGCGCAACGAAACTTGTAAGTTTTGTTTCAAATCAGGGCTGAGCGGGCAAAGCATTTTCCATCGTAGACAGGTAAAACCCTCAGAAGGGAGCGGGGTTTTTTTTCTGTTTCCGTATTGGACAAGTTTCCGTTTTATACCGGTAATTAAAGAGGGGGAGAGCGGGGAGATTCTGTTAAGACAGATTTCAGTTTTACACAGGTTTCCGTTAAGGCAGGTTTGACTGTACAGTCAAACCTGTGTAAGATGGAATTGCAAGGGAGCGGGAAAAAAATTCCGTTTTAGACAGGGGAATTTAGGGGGGGGGGGGTTCAAAGGCCCAGCCAGTGGGATCAAGGATTGGTTGTCCGGTCGGCAAGCAGTGGTCAAAACTTCAAACCTCTCAATTGCTATCCTGTCTGATAATGACATGCGTCAGTTTTACTTATCCAGTTAACACCAGTGCTTGCTTTTCATAGGACCACTGTTTGACCTATTAAAAACAGAAACGTTTGAACATCTCCTTTGCTTCCACCCTTAGCCCCACCCAAAGATGCCACCCCTCACTGTCATCATTGTAACAACGATTCGAGGAACTCTTTTCTCGGCTGGCATTGGTCAATCTAATTTCACACCTCTGGCTTCTGGCTCGATACTCGCGCACTCTCACGGGCAGTCGTGAGATTTCACACCCACACTACGCTGACCATCTGCATCGTTCAGGGCTCACATGATGGGGTAACATCTACCCCCTAACTGCACCGCTACTCCCCTTCCTCGTCTAGCGGCACGGCCATTGCGTTAAATTTATAGCCGACGGACCTAGACGGTCAGAGAACGTATAGGACGGAACTAAACTTGCGAGTTTTGTTTCAAATCAGGGCTGAGCGGGCAAAGCATTTTCCGTCTTAGACAGGTGAAACCCTCGGAAGGGAGCGGATTTTTCTTTCCGTTTCCGCATTTGACAGGTTTCTGTTTTATACAGGCAATTAAAGAGGAATATATCAAGGGGGGAGTGGGGAGATTCCGTTAAGACAGGTTTCCGTTTTATACAGGTTTCCGTTAAGGCAGGTTCGACTGTACATGAAAAAGTTAAAGTACTAACTCTACCTCAAACTATAAAAACAAATGCAGATTATGATTATAATAAAATGCATGTAAATGACAATGACAATCTTTATTCATCTCACAGGGAGAAATTTGTTTTGGTTGTTAACAATGGCGGAGTTAACACAAACAAGCAAACCTCAAAAGCAGACCATTCTCCAACATTCCTCGTTTTCGACTTTGGTACAAGAGTCTTGCTCTTTTCAACTCTATTGTTTCCCCTTGCTTCTCGATGTATGGAGGGATTGGAGGGGTCATGTCCGCAGGATCATAAATGCCTCCAGAATTTGAAGAAAGAAGGCGCTGCAAACCTGCTACTGGAATCTGCATTTAAGATAAAAAGACAACATCTGATCCGTTAGTAATTTAAAGGCTAAAATATTAACAGCTCAACAATATTTTGAACATTGTAAATAACCTGCTGTTGAAAGAAAAAATTTTAAGAAGTCAGGATTCCAAGATAACACTGTTAAGAACAGTTTTAGAAAGACATGCACTTTACAAATATTATTACACTGGTCTAAAATAAAAAGTTAAAAATAGAAGGCTATTTGGAAAGAGTGAACATGCCAAAGATATGACCTCAGCCTCAGTCCTCTTTGATTCTTATCCAAAGATGCTCTGGCTACATATATATAAAATTATACTCAATCACAATGGAACTCGGATTCAACGAAGTAGTCGGGCCTGACCTCCAATTTCGTTAAACCCGAGTGTTTGTTATAGCAAACATGTGTAGAAAATTACAGGCACCGAGCAAGTAATGTATTTATTATAACGCATTTGACTTTTTCAATATAAAGTAGTTTGGGCTCAAATGAGAAGCATTTTCGTATGATCTTTGAAGCCATTCCAAAGAAACGGGGTATATATCTTGTCACCTGAGAGGTTAAGGTGTTCGCCTCTCATTCAAAGGTCCCGGGTTTGAATCCGGGGAATAACAGAAAAACTTTCTTCACTAAAATTGTCTCCTTCCACCTCCTTTCCTGCTCTCTAACAATGTTCTGTCGTCTGCTTTCGTCTCCACTTCTTGCCCCCACCTCCTTTGCTCCCTCTTCTAGGCTCCTGACTCTAGATATACAGTCGAACCTGCCCTGACGGCCACCTCTATAAGACGGCCACTTGTACAAACAGCCACTTTCCATTTCCCCCCTCGCATTTTTTCTATATAATTTAACTGTGTAAAACGGGCATGTGTCCAACGCGGCCGGGGTCACCATATTTAAACACACAACCCCTATCACACCAAACAATAACACCTGTCTTAGACGGCCACCTCAGTGACTCCATTACGTTTTGTCAGAAATCATGCATTGTTGGCCCCTGGCGTTGTGGGCGAGCCGTCACAATCCAATCACCTGTCGTTGTTAGGTAGTCCCTCCAATAACATATTGCGTAGGCCCCTCCCACTGTTGACCAATAGGTATACAAATTTTCAGCTGCTGGTGGGGTAAGCGTGTGATCCCTCATAACCCATAGGCCCCGCCCAGAACTCATACACAAATCGTAAGTGAGATGAGAGGTCACTGTTTACCCAGCCTGTAACCACCAAGTAACAATGGACGCCAACATGAACTTGTGATAGAAGCGTCGCTCGTTCTCGGAGTGGTGCAACCCATGTGTTTGTTTTACCATGGCACTCGGTCCTTCTTGTCTGATACATTTCGTTTTATTGTCACCTCTGCACAGAAGCAGCAACAAAAGAAAAAAACAACAACAGCGAAAACAACAACAACACCAACAAAGGTTGGGACCCCAGAAAGGAATGGTTTGTTTTCTTCATTTTGATCAGTCCTGCCTAAGACAGCCACCTGTCTTTTACGGCCACTTTTCTCCATGACAATGGGTGGCCGTCTTACATAGGTTCGACAGTATAGGGCCTATAGATTCTAGATGATGTAGTACATCTTGAATCTAGATCTTGACAAGACAAGGCTAGATCTAGATCTTGAGTAGGTTCAGGTCAAACCGGCTGCGGGTCAAACTGGCCAACATCAGACTCGATGTCCACTTCCTTTTCTTTTGGATTTGTTTATCGATGAATATTTCTACAACCCAAGCAGATGTCTGCTTAGAGGTTTTTCGTGTCGTTTGAATGTGGGAAAGCCTTGAGAAGGCCAGGCAACTTTGGTTTTCAACAGATTTCTTCACCAATGTGAGTATCCCTTTCACTTTCATTGTTATGGGTCGCAAGGAATGACAGGATGTTGCTACCTAAGTCAGAAGTGGGTTTTTATAAAGGAATTCCGGGTCAACCATTACATCATATGCTATTTTTATATTGTTAGATGGTATTTGGGTCATCTGGATGGTGTTCGTCTTTCATTTTAGCCTCATTACCGCGTGGCCGGTTAGACCAAAGAATTTTTATGCGATCATGGTGAAACCAGCCGGGTAGATGACAGTGATGAATTGGGTGGTTGGGGGGGGGGGGGGGGAACTGCGAAATCATGTGTTCAGTCCCCCTCCTATGTATCACATGTCTCCTTCAAGGAGTTCCACGAGAACAAAGAAAAAGAGGAGGCGGCAAAAAAAAGGGCGCAGGGAGAGAGGAAGGCAAAGATGTTGAGGACCAGACCATCAATGATTTATTTATAGAGGCACCAGCCATCCATGTCCAGGTGCTGTTTTAACCGTGAGGAAGAGGGAGGAAAAGATGAAGAAGAAGTTGAAAGAGAAAGAAAGGAAGCGCCGGAAGAGAGAACATTAAGAAAGCCGAAAGGTTTGAAGAGAAGAGGAAGGAGGCAGCAAATGAAAGGGAAGGGCAAGAAGAGGAGAGTGGAAGAAAGTTCAAATTCAAGTTCAGATGATGATGATACGCGAGTTGTGTATGACGACAGGTCGGATGTTGAGATGGGTATGAATGAGTTGTGTGGTGTGAATGATGTGGATGAAAGTGTATGTGCTGTTTATGCAAGTAACAGGAACCTGGATGGATGGATTGGGAGCGAAAGTGGGAGATGGTATCACAGAGGATGTACAGATAAAGACATCGAGAAGACCAGTGAATTCCACTTTGTGTGTACGATGTGCGGGTGTCTATAGAGTGAGAACTTGTACGCATGGTTGTTCTTGAGTTTGTAATTTTTTCTTTTACTGTTCTCACAGGGACATGGCCTTTTTCTTTTGCAAGCCTGTGTTGCTAATAAATTGGTTTAACCTGAACATGAACTTGTTTATTGGTCTGTCTTGAATGAAAAATGTAAGGCAGTCATCTTTTGGTGAAGGAAATATTCTGCCAATTTCTCGAAAGAGTCTTTCAAGCTCCTTGGTATGCTGAAATTGAACCCCAAATTGATCAATGCCCTGGCAATAAAGCCAATTGAGCCTAATAAGTTATTTATCAAAGGAAAAAACAAAGTGAAATAGTGTTTTTTAACATCCATGAAGGGCGGCAGGTTTGGCCAAAAACGGTAGCTGGTTTGACCTTAAAGTTTCAAAAGTGGCCGGTTTTACCAAATGAAGTGGCTATTCGGACTCGAGTCCGAACAGCCGCTGGAGGCTATTCAGACTAAAATTCTAGTGCGTGTGCCCAATCACCAGTTGTACCGTAAGCGAGGTCTATAATTGAGTCCGAATAGTCTCCCGTTGCTATTCGGACTTTGAACTACTGGTAGGCTATTACATTGCGTTTCACGACTACAAAGGGATCAAAACAAAATTCATCAGTCCTTATAAGACAGTCCCCCCTTCCCCTCTCTCTCTCTCTCTTTTACTTTTCCTCTCTCTCTTTCTCTTACTTTTTCTTTCTCCATCTTACTTCCCCAGGCCCGCCCCACCACCTTCACCCCTTTTTTTGTATTAGATCTATTTTCCCTCCCATACCGTAGCCCACTGCCCGGCCCTTATATTATCTTTTGTAAAGAAAAGACCACAGTTCGCACTGGGTCATCACTGTCGGCGTCCATTTGTTGTAAGTTCCTTGGCCAGATCGTAGAAACCGAGGAAGGCCAAGGTCAAATTGCTTGTCTGCTTCACACCTGGTATACCTAGTGATTGCGCACACACATTGGAGTTTGAGTCCGAATAGCCACAGAAGGCTATTCGGACTCGAATTCAGACTCGAGAGTCCGAATAGCCTCCCGCGGCCTTAACCAAAATGTCACCAAGATCATTTTATGTGCAGAATATGGGTAAGACTGATAGGATGCAAAATCTGCTGGTTCACCTGAAACCGGCATCAAGCGGCTTACATTTTACGACATCCCTTTCCAGTATTGATCTTTTTTCTGGTCAGCAGTCTTCATTTCTCTGAGGCGCCGACGGATAAGGCTTAAGCGGACGGTTAAACTACTCTAAAAGAGAATCTAGATCTAGAAATCTAGATCTACAGTACTGACGTCTGGGCATCTCGGCCGCCCACCTAAACAGAGTTGTTCCAACTCATTTTAAAACCAATCTTGATTGGATATCTTGTTAATTTATAAACCAATGTAATCTTTGTTAAGTAATGCTAACAATTTCGCACATTTTGTTTCCCTTTCACCCGTTTTCACTGAATTTTTGCGACAGAGCCAGGTAAATCGAAAGTAGGTCCACCATTTTTTCATCGTCTCCATAACTTGAACTATGAATGCTCATAAGGTCGTAGACATGCACAGATGCTATATTACTACGTCATATGACCTGGGACGGAAGGCAGAGGAGTTTTTTGTCTATTCCGGGAATGAGGGGAAGCCCTTCTTGCATTAGGAGTGATGTGGTGGGTGGGGTTGAGTAAACCGGACTAAAAATGTTAAGTGTCCAGGTTGTTCGGCCGGGGGTGGCCGAGCTTTTTAGACACAGTTTGCGCATATCGGCAACATGCACAATATGTTTTTAAAAGATACATTTTCAAGCTTAGCCTACCCATTTTTTATTGTTTAGGCCTTTTGTTTATTTTTATTATTTCATTTATTGTGTACATTAATGATTTTTGTGGCCAGTGAATTCGATTAAATGGATTATTTTACTAAATTTAATTATATTCATTCTCATGGATTGTGTTGCTTGCACCAAGGTAAGGTTACAATTTTATTAAAGCCGGTTCTATTTCTCAGAACGTTCGGGAAAATAAACTTGAACTCTATTTCTCCTAACTGTTTCTGTTCTCGAGATTAAATTGTTGATAATTTGCTAAAGGAATGGCCCGGGCTTGCGCGTGAGCGTGTGTGTGTGTGTGTATGCGTGCGCACGTATGTGTGTGTGCGCTTGTGAGTGAGTGTGCTTGCGTGTGTGTGTGTGCGTGAGTGAGTGTGTGTGTGTGTGTGTGCGTACGTATATAAGGTGTGAATGAGGCGCGCGGGGGGGGCACGGAGGGATTTTTTGTTGTTGTTTCTTTAGGCTACATGAAGGATTTCAGCTTTTTTGCTTTAGAGTTGACTAAATGCAAAATAGGTTACTGTCGAGGTCAAGCAGTCTTGTTTTCTCGCAGTACCTTTTGAAGGCATTTTCAAATGAAGTAGGCTACAGTCCGGGAACGTTGCCCCAACCACAACTGAAGTATCTGAATATTATAGTCAGACATTTAAAAATCTCTAGCTCTAGAAATTGAATTCGATACAAAAAATGCTTCTTCCCAGTCCTCGCAGAATGGCAGAATGAAAGATGACACTTAAATCTCGCAAATAACCAAAAAATTTTGAGAACGGAAACCTTTCAGAGCAATCTGTTTCTTTTTATTTGACAGAAGGGTGTAAAATGGATTTCATAATTTTAATGAGTGGTTTTGGGGGAGATTGGGGAGAGATTGAGATGAGTGAATCATCATCAATGCCTTTCACCCCTGGCAGGGTACCTGGGGATCAAGGACTGGTGATGGGTCTCATTTAAATATTGAGAAATGCCTAAGCGTCTCAAGCAGCTTCTCCCAATCCAGCCAACCGTACCTGCCCGTGGTGGTCCCTGTCCTCACTGACACGGCTCTGGCGAATGGCGAGTTGTTGGCGCCAACAAACCAACCCCCCCGTTTCCTAGAGGGGTTTTAAAACAACAGGATGGGAGCAGGTGTGGCCCCACAAGGTGCAGGAGGCAGAACCCACCGATGCGTGGTAGACGCTATGCTCCTCACTAACACACCCCTACTCTCCCTTGAGTGGGTGTCTATTCTGCCGAACACCTCTACTACTTTCATCAACACACCCTCTGTGGCTGAGAAGGTACCAGCCAGTTTGAGAGTGACTGGGTGCAGGGGATGGACCGAGCAGAATGCCTGACTTGCTTTCTGGCCGTGAAACCTCTTAGTAAAGGCACAACGACCCAGGACGTGATGATCCAATGGCTTTTCCACTTGGCCAATACCTCATGAAAGAGTCGAAAACCTTAGCCAGTAGCCATTGGTGGCGGGGAATGGGCAACGTGAACCCTACCGGAATTACACGGTCACAGGGCAGTTAGGTCTTTCCAGTCTCATGAAAACTCCTAGTACCCTCCTATCCTCAACATGAATGGCCTCTTCTCAGGGTGGGCAGACAGTCCACAGACACCCCAGTCCACAATGCCATGGCAGGGTACCTATAGGCCACACAAGCTCCTCCTATTCATTTCTATTCTTCGCCATCCTTCCAAGCTCGTTCCAAGTGAGCTTCATCTCATGTCCCTTTTCACGCATCTCCTCCACGTTCACATGGCCTACCCCTGCCTCGTGCTTCCTGTGGGTTCCACTGCAGTGACTGTCTTGTGATGTTTCCCTTGGGCTTTCTTAATTAAGGTGTGTCCCATCCATCTCCACTTTCTTGGTCCTATTTCTACTATATTCCTCTGTAGTTGTTACAGTTTCTGAGGTTTCCTTTCATTTGCAGCTTGATTAGGTGGCCTTCCTTCCAGTCTGATGGTATTTCCTCCTCTTGCCAAACCTTTTCAAATAGAGCACAGAAAATTTCCCCTAATGTATCTTCAGCTGCCTTTAGGGCCTCCGGTGGTATATGGTCGGGACTACCTGCCTTGTGGGACTTCAGTTCAGTGATGTTATAGCTGCCGCAATTTCCTCTCTCGAAGGTGGTTCCATAACTATTGAGAGGTCATTACTGGCTGAAAGAATTTCTGGTTGGTTTTCTGGAGGTGGTCTGTTCAAGAGTTGATCAAAGTGTTCTCTCCATCGGTTAAGTTGCCTCTTTGGGTTAAAAATAGTCTTTCTCTCCTTGTCTTTCACTGGTAGAGTGGGCTTGCTGAACCTACAGGACCTGAAAGAGTTCTTGTTGTCTGGTGTAAAATCTGCAAGCGTCCGTCTGTTGCTGCTTTCTCTGCCTTTTCGGCCAGGCCATTCAGGTAGGTACAGTCCATGCTGGCTTTAAGCACGGTCATCGGGAGAAAGCTTTTAAGCGTGCATAATGCCGAGGCGTGCTTGAGTGCGAAGTAGACATGATCCAGAGATTTTCATGTAGAAAATTTTCCGTGCTATTTCCCTTTGTTTGTAAGTAGGCCTATAGCAGTCCCGAAAAAGTGTGCACTGTTATTTTTTTTCCCCGCAAGGGTAGTTTTTTGGTTTGCTGGTTTGTTTTTGTTTTGTGGTCGAACGGGAAATGAGGAAAACTTAATTAAGACGGCCAGTCACGATATGCAGCACACTAGGCCTACACACTGCCTGTGCGTACCACGCCTTCTCTCTGCCTTCCTCTCTGCGCGTGTGAGTGTGTGTCTCTATCACATGCTTTCTTTTTGAGTTTCTCTTAATAAACACACTCCACTGTTGCGGTGCAGACTGTGTTCGAACTTCGATGGATCATCATGAAAATAGTGACTGACTTGTAAATGAAGCGTGCCTGAAGCCGAAGTTACCGCGCTTAAAGGCGTGTAATTTATTTAGCGAAAATTCGGTAAGAGCCATTTAGCGTGCTTGAGTCCGAAACGTGCTTTATTTTTATGCTGGCGTGCTTAAAGCCGGCACGGACTGTATTCTTGTCCTTCTTGATGGAATTCTTCCCCCCTCCCTTTTTGAGCCTGACCTACATCTAGATCTAGATCTATACGTTTGATGCACGGCAAGCTAAGATATCAAACCTAACAACTGCAGAACATTAAATTGTGGTAAATTTAAATTCAGGGGGACTCGCCCCCCCCCTCCCCCTGAAACCCCCCTACTCTTGGGGCCAAAACCGACGAATATAGATTCTAGACTAGATCTAGCAGTAGCCTAGAGATCTGGATTAGAAAGAGATCTAGATATCTAGATCTTGAATCGAGTCTCTCAACTTTTAATTCGAATTAAAGTTTTGCCTTACCTTTGTATTGATTCTCCTTACGGTCTGAATGAACAGAGCCATTTTAGTTTGTAAAACGTCTTTCAACTGTGCGAAGCACTCTGCCCACGTACGAAACACTAGATATACCCAGTTGCAAAAGTGCTCGGCTGACTTTGTTTTGTAAGTTCAGTTTGTTTCGCAAGGAAGGACAAGATAGATTGCATATCAAGGGACGTAAATCCCATTGACCTACTAAAGACATCATTGAAGGTTCTGTCCCCTGATAGAAAAAAAGAATGTTCACATCTTGTGAGAAAGGTTGGTTCAGGAAAAAAACAACCTACAAAACAAAACAAAACCAGGGAACCCACCCGAAAACACACTTCTTTTTAAATACTGGGCGGGTTAAGAAGGGGTGGTGGGAAAAGTGCGCTGTCAAGTCATGCTCTGGTTGCTTTCCAGCTTTCATTTTCAAATTTTACGACCGTTACCAGGTAGATCTAGATGTGCCCTAGGGATCATTTTATAATGATAATTATCGGTTGTTTTCTTAATTCTTTCTTGGTGTATTGGTGAAGAGAATTATGAATCCTGACAGAAGTGTATGCGTGTTGGTGG